TTGCTCTGTTCCCTTTGCTGTTCTGTTGCACGCCCTTAGTGGTTTGCCTCTTTGTGGTGGGGTCAGATTGGGCACAATTATCACACTTTGTCTCCAGAGTTGTACCCTGTAGGGCTATGGGTCAGTGAAGGATGTCGTGTCTCATAGTGGGGCCAGGCCATATGGTCTTCTCTGTGGATTGGCTGCTCTGAGCAGGAATATCATCCTCAAGGCTTGGTGGGCCAGGATGTGCTCCACTCTCTCCCACCCCCCTTCATTTACTCCCATGTGCTCTGATCAGACATTTCCCTCTCCCTGAGCTGCAGGTTCAGTGCTGTCCTCTGAGATAAATTCTTCTGTGGGGAGCAAAGTGTGTATTTTCATTCAAATGACTAGGAAGCAACAGTTTAATATCAATATATATAAAATTTTATTCATTATCATATGTACTTATATATAAAATTCAATACAAATGAATTCATCTGATTACTTTTAGCACAATGTAGAAATAATATTTTCTAAGAAAATATCAAGTACACTATATTTTCAAATAAGAGCTAAAGGCAACTTTTTTATAGTACTAAGCAATTGGGCAACCAATCGGGGCTAAGAAGATAATCTGTAGAAAATCATGGTCTTTTAAAATAATACTATAGTAAATCTGTACATTATCACATTTAATAAAGACAAGCTTTGGTTTGTCTGATGACATGCAAAAAGTCAAATAATTTGGATTAATTTTAGAACTGAAACCCAGGCCTGTCTTATTGCATAAACCAGGCTCATAATCACTATACTGAATGCTTTTGTTTTTTTTCCCCTCTCTAAGTTCTTTATGCATTCTCCTTTAGAAGTATTACGTTCAGTTTGAGCTGAGAACTGACTTACTGCTCAAGTTTAGCAACCCCTTTATTATAAACTGTGAAGACACAAAATAAGGGAAAATAGCAATACTATTTTATATAAATCAATTGCGTGTGTGCAACCTAAAATGTAATAATGTGAAGAAATCCATTTTAAATGAATCTCAGATATTTAACTATATCCAACGAACTCCTTTGAATAACTTTTAAAAAAAAGAAGATTTTAAACAGCACACTTCAGAAATAGTTCCTCTGAATATTTTCAAACTGTCATTTGTATCTCCAATTAAAATGTGAAGTCTATAAGTACACACCTTTGCTCTTTTCTTGTCATTCTCACTTATTTCCCCAATTATAAGAGTTCTCAGGCTATATAGCCTTAGACTAATGGCATTCCACTGAAGAAGAGCTCCCATGGCCAAGATAAACTTGTAGAAATACAAGTACAACTGTTTTCAAGGACTCTTCATTTGGATTTTCCAGTTTTACTACAATGAGGTTTACATCACACATATCACATAATGGGAAGTAATGCCATATGTTGAAACAGGCTAAAATAGAGACACTGAAAATGATCAATAATTGCATTTCAACTCAAATATGTACATTTTACCAAGAAATTTTACTGAGAAACCAACCACATGTTACGTGGTTGGTCAAATGATATTGCAATTTAAAACTGATATTTGCCCTCAAAGCCCACTGCCATGGAGTCAAACTCCACTCATAGCACCTATAGGACAGAGCGAACCTGCCCCAGAGGGTTTCCAAGCAGTCATCTTTAGAGAAGTACACTGTTGCACCTTTCTCCCTCAGAGTGGTTGCTGGGTTCAAACCACTGACCTAAACTACTTTAACCACTGCATCCCCAGGGTCCCTTAAAAATTGGTCATAGTGAACATCAATATAAAAAAAAAGTCCAAAAGAAGCTCCTTAGATGACTTAACTCTCTGACGTGGGAAAAATAGCCCTAAACAAAATATTTGGGGAATATTATGCAAAAATTAATTTGACATATTTATTGCATTCAAATCTCCAGGAGGGGAACATGGCATCCTGACTTATTTGGCCACAGAGTTTGAAAAGTCAAACCTAGGTCTGGCTACCACTCAGTTACGTATGTCACATCTAAGTCTTTCGTAGATTACAACCATTGAAAATTACATGGAGTGCAGTTCCACTGTGTCACCCATGGAGTCACTTCGAGTCAGAAAGGACATAAGAGCAGTAAGCTTGGCTTGGTCTTCTTATGAGATACATCACTATGATATCTCAAGGCATCATCCTTTAGGCCACCATTCTCCTTCAGCTTGCACACTCTGTCCATCACTAAACTAACATCCCATCCATCTGCTTCTATACACTGTCACCACTCTGGCGGGGCCACTGTCTTAGGGTATACTACCAGGTCAGTCTGTGTCTATTAGCTTCCTTTCCCATCTTTTCTCTGTTATACAGGGATTGGTTTTTAAAGAGAAAACTATATTGATAGTGCCTCATGACTTTGAATTTAAGTAAATAAATAAAAGGGCTTTCTAGTGATATATACAAAAGCTCTAAACTGGGCTTCCACTGCCCTGCATGGTCAGGCTCTCATTTAGCTCCTAAATGTTGTGCTCTTATCTCAATTCTCTTAGAAATCTCGCCACAATAATTATGTTAAACATCTTTTCTACAGTGCTTCCAATGGTCCTAGCCTCATTTGACCGGCCCTAGACACTGCTGGAGAGAACAGCTCTCCATGGCCTCTGACGGACTAACATTCAGGCATTTGTCACGACAGCTTGAGATACCACAAGACCCTTCTCGGTGTCCGTGCACACTCAACTTAGAAATGTCGAGTAGCTAATATCCTATGAGATAAAAGATCCTTTATCCAATGAAATCATGAAGATGGCACAGGACCAGGTAATGTTTTGTTCTGTTGGACATAGGGTTCTCATGAGTTGGAATTTACTTGATGGCAACTATCAACAACATCAACACGAATATCCAATGGGATAAATTCCAAACCCCCCACCTTCAGCCCTCTACTAAATTATCTGAAAATACCATAGAATACAGTACTCACTTGCATTTAACGGAGGTCAGCTCAACTCTTCTCTTGCCTTCCTCACAACCTCTTTCCCACATGGAAGTTGCTCATCACCATTGATTTAGTTCCAACTCATGGCAACCCCTTCTCATAAGAGAAGGAAGCTTTCTGGTCCTATACCTTTTGTCTTCCTGATCTTTGGTATGTTTTAGCCCATTGTTCATCCATGGTGCTAATCCAACTTTATGAAACATGCCCTTTTCCAGCAATTGATGCTTTCTAATGCTGTGTGCAAGGTAATTATCTTTAGGATTTTCAGTGACCAATTTTCAAAGGATATCAACAGGCCTTTCCTTCAAGTGTGGAAGCCTTGTTAAATATTGTCTACTACCAATAACATTGTTGGTATTTGAAATATTGGTCACCTAGCTTATAGCATCAT